AATACCAGCATCGACTGGTTGGCAACAGGTTGCCGGTTGTCTCCGGGTGAAGTCTGCAACCAACATGTTTCAAAAGGCAAAATTTCTCAGTTTCACTCGTCAGCGTCTTCCATGCAGACGTCAGGCGACCGCACCAGCAGCCCGTCGGGGAATACAGCGACCGACTTTCTTAACGTTAGCCGGTGTCGTGCCAAACTAGGTACCCCCGACAGAATTAGTTTCCCCTGCGTCGGGAGCACACGCTGGACTGTCCAAATCACGGACAAACAGGATCCCACATTGCTGATTTTTAGTTCACAAACACTTCTTATTATGACTAACTGCTCCTGACATTTTTGAGATGTTAGCTCTTTATATAGTAAAGTTACAGGAGAATAAAAATATAAAAATAGTTATCAGCCAAAATGTTACTGGTTTGTTAAAATAATCACATCTGATACCCCGTGAGCAATAAATGTATAATTTTCTGTTGTAACCCTCACACTGAATGGTAATGTAACGATACTCATTTTTCACAAAATGAAAACATCAGTACTTCCTGCTCCCAGCACAGGGGAAACACCGATACCTACTTTGGCACGACACCGGCAACACGAAGCCACAAACTTGTCACTGTGTAGACGGCACGCTCACCGATTAGCTGAGCAGGACTAGGATTACCCACCAGGCCACGTATGCACATCCTGGGACGATAAAGCAGGCCACGAACAGTCTTCATCGCACACAGTGTGAACATTGCATTACCCACATTAAACTGAGGCTCTGACCCGAGTCAGACACTGTTAGACACGGCGTGCCTTTATATCCGGAGATCATTTTATACAGAGTTATTATTGTCATGCATGGCCCGGCGATATGAGGCGCTAATAATATACAAACTACAGATCCCATAATGCAGCGCTGCAGCCTCCTTGGCTAGGCTAACTGGGAACAATCCCGTCAATCAAGTCAAACTTCTGTTATTGAAGCTCGCCGCTCACAATGGTGGAGAGAGAAGTTGGTTCTGAAAGCAGATAATGTAATAATAATGTAATGAAGGAATTTAATTTAAGAGGCACTACGAGACAAAACGTCAGGATAAGCTGAAAAACCTAAACGCAGAAACTACAGGAAGTAGAAGAAGAATCATTTCAGCAGACGTTTGTCACCAGAGCAAAATCACAAAGTGAAGCTGTTGTGAAAGTTTTACTGTAGCAGAGGAGCCAAATCAGCTGGTACCACTCTGAAGAGCTGCAGGATGAAGCTGTGGACGTCTGTGAGCCTGAGCAGAAATACGATGCTGATCGGGTTTGTGAGATGGGGTTTTGGCAGCATGTTCATATTTCTAACTTGCATAATTTTGACAGGATATATTTTTATGAAGAGCAAAATATTTAAAGTTAAAGTTTATTTTTTTAAGTTTATTTAATCTGTCTGTTTTTATTCACATTTATGTTTATAAAACATTGTTTTAGTGTTCAATAAATGTTTATCTTGTTTGGCTGCGACCTAAAGTGAGCCTTGAATTTGACGCCCTGCTTTAGCTCATCTGGACCTGAGTCCTCTGATTGTTCATCTTTGCCTCATAAAGACCTCAGAGCGACTGTTGTTGTGATTTGCTGCTAGATGTAGAAAGCTGTGTTGTCTGTCCGGCTCAGCGATCCGCAGACCGAACGGTGAAAAATGTGCCGATAAAAAGGTTCGATGCAAAGGTCAGAAGTGTGACGCAGCTTAAAACACTTGTGATCAGGCTGAGCAGCAAACAGGAGCTTACAGCTGGGACAAAGCCCTCACGGGTCAGAGGCAACACCGAGTCAGGACACGGGCGCTGAAAGTCCACATTTATTGAAGCATAGGAGGTGAAGCACCATTGTTGGCATACACAGGTTTATACATCAGTAACAGTCGTCTCAGCTGCATATGTGAGCATTTACAGAGTGGAGGTGGTGCAGGAAACAACAAATAGCTCAACACAAACGCAGAACAGCAGCTTTCATGAGCTTTATATGGCTTTTAAAAGCTGAGCAGCTATTTATATCCTGAACATGTAAACTGTGGCCCGACCAATGAGAAGAGAGGACTGCAAACTGAAACCTCTCGAATATCTTATTTGAATCCTCTTCGTTCCGTCATCGAAGAATCAGATGAGACGACGGAGGCGAGTGCGTGAAACATCCTGCAGGACACGTTTAGCACAAACACGTCCACAAGCAGAAAACTGGCGTTCACAGACCTCACACACTGACTCGTGTTTGATTACAGGATAAAAACGGGAGGAAACCACAGAGTTTCCATTTCTGTGTCTACATCCTTGAACACTTCCTGCTTCCAGCTGAGCTCGGTAAACACGCTGCTGTGTAACCGTTAGTATAAAAACAGATGCAGTAGAAACATTCGCGTTAAAAAGTTCGACTCGAGTATAAAGTCATAAAAACCCAACCTGTCGGTACCGCGTCGGCGTTTCTCACCAAGCAAATATATTAGGCTTTAAATAGATTTCATCAAAAACATCTCAGGACCTGAAAAAGAGAGAAGCATTTACAGGCATTTGGCGTGCTGCGCAACAGCAAAGGTCACGTGATAATAAATACAAACCAAGGCTACATACAAACAACACCAGCGTCACGCCGCCGCCGCCCGCTGACAGCTCATCTCAAAGTGCAGGAAATAAAAAGGTTACTGTGGCGAGAACCTCCTCAAACCTCACACCAGGTTTTAAAGGAGTCCA